TATGTATTTTTATACTTGATTTTTAACATATTTAATATTTTTACTGACACAATTCTAATAATTTATATTTTAAAGTAAAATAAACTAAAAAACAAAAAAAAAACTATAAGAAATATTTTTAATCATACCTGTGATCTAAATAGATCATAGACAGTCCTACGTCTATTAAAATGGGAAGAAAAATATTAGTATAATGTAGTACTTACCAAAAAATATTCAGGAACTAGTGTAATACCTAAAATAATTCAGAACCCAACTAGCGTAGTACCTATAAAAATTCGGGACCCAACTAGTACACTACTGACCTGCGATTAGCCCCTAGTACTCAGGATCCAACTCGGATGCTCCGCATAAATTAATACTGTTAATGAATCCGGTGATTAAACATTATTTTTTACAAACGATAATTATTATTTGGAAACGAAATAAAATATTACAATATAGTGACACGTAAAATTATTATTATTTTCGTACAAATGTGCGTATTAAAATGTTTTATTACTATATACAGAAAACGTTATAATAATAATGACATGTTCATGGTACCTCTAGGGATAAAAGTGATGGCAGGGACATCATATTTTTTTCGTTAATGTTAGCACACAGTCTTGAAAACAAATATTACATCTACTGTTACTTTAATTGTTACTTATCAGTATGGTTGTTTGATTGTTATGTTGTTTGTTTATACCAAATAAATAATTTATTATTTATTATTTATTTATCGTTGATTGTGTATTCAATAATTATTATTGAATACACAAGCAATGATAATCGATATTGATAACAAGTAATAGGTGATTAAATAATTATAATAATAAGACAAGTAATTTCATTACAATATAGTACATGGTTTATGCAAGTATATACAAGTAAAAGGAAGCATGTAATTAGCTCTTAGTTTTAAAATTCACTATAATATCCTATAATAACAGTTGTTAATGCTATTAGGTAATTTGTATAAAATGCGTTTATTCATAGTTATCGCACGAGATAAAATCTTGTTCGAGACTATGGTTTGTGTCGCTACTAGAATATCGTCGGCAGTTAACCTAATTAAAAGTTGAGTAAGTACTGGCACGGGATAGTTTGAACGAAAAAAAACCTAGAATACCAACATCTCATATTAAATTAAAAATTATAATTATATACAAGGCATTGAGTAAAAATATTACATTTTAAAACGATAATTATTTATTACTAATGAATGATAAATTTGTCTGAGTAGAATAAACGCATGTATTGACTCCATAGTATATTTTATATTTGTAACTTTATTCGAATCTTTATGTACGAACATTAATATTTATTTTATAGCAAACTATTTTTTACGATAAAAACAAATTTCAATTTTAATGAAAACCGGTGTGTGATGAATGTTGACGTTTTTTGCAAATTGTTCGTCAGTTTTTTGCAATTATTATGAAAATAGTTGTAAAATTAGTAAAATGAAAGCTCGTTTACCAACTAAACAACAATCCCCATTAGAAACATACCCAGTGACGGATCGAAGGAGAGCAAATGGGTATGCTTGCCCAATGCGCTCGTAAGTGAAATAAAAATAAAAAAAGTCATGTATATATCCCGTACTTTTACTTACAAAAAGACGCTGCATTTTTATTAGCTCCGGGAATCAAATTTCCTAGATTTGGCACTGAACATACGACGACTATGATGGACGGATAGTTATATTATTTTATTGTAACCAAATGCTAAACCTAAATAATAAATTAGTGCCTAATAGTTATTATAATATTTAACATTTATTGACAACATTAGTTGTTAATAATATTAGTCGAATTGTAGTGTATACATTGTTTAATTGATCCTGACTCTCAGATTTATCATCAGATTATTAATTGGGAATGAGTTATTAACATTTACTTCCTATAAATTGTTATCAAATTTATAATATAACAACAAAACACCACAAATCCCAAACATTCTTGAAATACTCTATACATTTAGAATAGATATTTAAATAATTCAATAAATCAAATCAGGAATTATTACTTACTATGTTTGAAGGATGAGGGTTTTTCATTATTCATTCTACATATTTTGTAAGTAAATAAGAGAATATTAATTTTTCTTTTTTTCACTCATGATGTCTTGCCAGGTTACGGTCTTGAATTGGTACTACAATACTTTTATTGAATATGAATAAGCAATAAGTATGAAGTAAATACTAAAAGAGAATCAATTGTGTTCATGTTATGTCATCTCAACCATAGAGTAATATAATTCTTCTACTGTCTACGATAAATCTCTAATCCACGGGGCAATACAAATATTCTAGTTATTCTATGGTCAATTCTATGATACACATTTCACTAGTAGGTATGAAAAAAATGATTTTTTTATGTAATTAAATTACATTAGTTTTATTTCTGTTTCTTTGGTATCAAGAGTCATGATCAAATTTAATGAAGGAAGATAATAATTATTTTCCTTCAATTAATTATAAATGTTGGCAAGACGTTACGTGATCGTTTATTTTACATCACTCGTTTACACTTAATTCTTAATTCTTCAACGGTATCATAAAACACATATATGTTGCATATATTGCCTATACGATGACAAAGATCTTAATACTATATTAAAATTACATTTTGAATTCAGTCTAATTCTTATACTGCTAATGTTATGATTAGTAAAAATAATTGAAAATTCAACTATATAGCGTGTTTAGGAGCAGATGATTTCCATTTCTCTTAAATTGAATATTAATTATTAAAACGGTACAATTTACCTGTGGCGTAGCCAAGGGGGGGCTAAGGGGGTTACAATCTCCCCCATGGGCCGTGTTTATATGTATAATGTATCTTGACTATTTAATAGAATCAATGCTCGTTTTAATCAAAGGCTTATTGATGTTATACCACTTGAAAGACTTATTCCGGCCAATTTAAATATGTATGACGATAAAAATATAAAAGCTGCTAAAATATACGTCCAAGATCTCCATGATGATACCTCATCTACAATCAGAGCTGACCTGTTCATATGGAGGCAACAAAGGAGTCAAAATACTATTCCAAAACCGAATTCTGCTCTTGATTCACTCTCTCATCGCACCAATCTTCGACCTAACATTAAAATACTTTTACAATTATTCACCACGTTGGTACCAGTTACCTTTTTCACTCCGGAAAGAACGTTTTCAGCACTTAATCGCTTAAAAAAATTTTTAAGAAGCACCATGTCGGAAAACATACTGAATGGGTTAGCTATGGCTAATATAAATAAAAAAGAGCAATTCGATAAAAGTGAAATAATAACTGAATTTGCCAGAAATTCGCCTAAGAGAATGCAGCTGTCAGAATGGAGCAAGTGACTGAACACTGAAACCAAAATTATTATTATTATTATAAATTATATATTAATAAATATTTTTAAAACTATACTAAAATGCTTGAATTACGTTTAGAAACTTGTTGGTAGATGGTTGGGGGTTAAGGGTGAATTCTCATATCCTCTCTTACCTTACTTATCCAAAAAAAGTGGTTAGCCCCCCCATTTAAAAATCCTGGCTACGCCAATGCAATCTACATCCAATTTTTCGTAGCAAAAGTCTATTTTAGGTTCACAGTTTCACACACAATTCATGACAAAGAAACTTACTATTGTACTAATGACTTATATATTCATAAAAACGAAAAGTGACACTGTTGTATAATTTTGCAATTTCCGAACGATAATCAACATTAATATACATCCATTAATAATTCAAATTTAATGATATTATTGGACAGTCCACAGCCATATAATGTGGGTAGTTTTGCCATTGTGCATTATTAAACTGATGGTACTTAATTATAAAATGCTTACTTGTCATAACCTAGTGAAACAATCAAAGTGCGCAGAAAAAGAGTTTATGTATCTCATTTCTTTTCAAATTTTTCCATGTAGGTAGTTCTTAATAGGCCATTGGGAACTCTACACAAATTAAAGTATAATATAAATAATGTGTTTAAAATTACTGGTGAAAAACTTAAAACTAACCATTACTTTTACACCTACATTTATCTTTGTAGAAATAAATAGATTTTGTTGTACTGCGTTGGTTCATTGTAGATGATAAATGATTATTAGTACACTTATTATAAGGCTATAATAGTTGCAATAGTGGCAGACTTTGTTAATTTTATTTCTAATACATATACTATTAATTGATAATGAAAATTAAAAATGCAATATTTTAATTGTCCAGTAGTTGATCTACTTTTAGTAAAAATGTAACACTAGAACAATAGTAATTTCTAACTTTCATACTCTGGTTACATTTATTTATAGTACATTTATTGTTACACTCCTAATCACTATTTATAACTTTAATTGAATATGTTAAGCATTATTTCTATGTTATACAATGTGTGAATAAATACCATTTGCTGTTTGGTGTCAATATCTAATAGATGAATTACCGTTTTATAAACCTTTTGAAAGAAAATTGCACTCATATGATACATTATAGCAAAAAATATTTTCATAATAAAACCAATTATTACATACAAAAGCAATATATTTTTTTATACCCATTACACATAAGTAAATTCAAAAATTTTCAAAAAAAATATCAGCTTTTTGGTACATTAACATTAGGCATAAGTATGTTTTTAATAGATAAATATAAATATAAATTTCATAGTTATTCCAATGTTATTTTAGGAAATCATTTGCATATGAACATATATTTTTCACCTACACATATTATGATTTTATATTCATTCTTATTCCTATCCACCTACAACCTGTAATGGTGGTCTTTTGAAGGTCAAGTACCACCAACAATAATTTTAGTTATACACTTTTGTGTTTTTAACTAATGAAAAATAAAGAATTAACGATTTTAATGTCTAATACTCAGTAAGAAATTTTAAAAAAGTTAAAAAAAATAATGTTACATTGATCTTAAAACTAAAACTTAAGTAAAATTCAGTTAATATACAAATTAACATTTATTTACAAAATAAATTTAATAAATAAGAAACAACTAAAATGAAAATCCAAATACTTAAACCTTATTAACAGGCTTAACTACAGGCTTTTTATAATCATTAACAGCGTTTTTCTCAAATTCAAAAGGTTTATCATAACCCAATATACGTTGATAATGTGTTACATCATCAAATGCTTGAGGATCAACAAAAAGTGGAGTTTCTTTTGCATAAAAAGTAACAGTTAATTTTTGTGTCAAAGGTAATCTTACTTCAAAGATTTTAAATTGCACCTGAAATCATAAATGGTTAATTAAAATAAATATATTTTTAAAACTTAAAACAAATGTTTTGATAAATTAATAAAAAACTATCCACACATATGGTATGTAGGTAAATTCAATACAAATATTAATAAAAAGCTATATTTTTCAAAATTCAAAATATTGTATATTGCTCTTAATTTAATGTTACCAATATTAAATATTTAAAATTATAAAAAAAAAATGATAACTAGACTAATATTTCTATGCGTTTATTCTTAGGAATATGTCACTTTTTAGGTTAAATTATAGTAGCGACAATTTAGTAATCTCTAGGTTCAATACTTAAAATATGTAAAACCTTATAAACAGTAGTTAGGGGTAAAAATATAAATGCTTACAATTTTTTTTTTTTTTTTTTGTTAAATCAAATTATTATGCTGGTTTTACATATATTTGAAATTATATTTAAGCTAATTACAAATTTATATACAAACAATTAAATTAACTACTTACATGAGGGTATATGTTCAAAATGTATACCAACTATTTTGATATAATAATAGAAATGTATAATAAATCAATAACCTTAGGTTTCCTGACACTCCTAACAATATATTATTTTAATTAATAAAACAATAAAATATTATATTAACAGAATTAATATTAAATTACAATCATTTATTACTAACATAAAATACATAATTTGTAAAAATGTTTATTATCTAATTTATTAACCATAAATATATAATTATATACTCGTAAACAATATTTCATATTAAAGAAAGTAAAATTTTATTTTAAAATTATAGAGTTCAAGAAGTTAGAAAGAAACAACGAAATATTCTGAATTATAAAAATAAAATAAAAATAACAAAATTAAAACTGTTGAATACATTTGGAATGGAATGATGAATTTCATAATGATAACATTTTTGAATGGAAGGTAATTATATTATTTATTCAAAAATATATTTTTCTATATTATTAGTTAGATTGTCATAAATTAATATAAAATAACTTTCAGACAAATATTTTTTTGTAATTTCTGACTATCTAATTTTTAAATAATGTCACACTATGATAACAAATCACTCCAATAATGGTAGATAAAGTTTAAACTAAATAATAGTTTAATATATATTATGAAATTTAATATTTTTATATTAGCATGTTATATTAATATGGCAATATATTTCTATACTATGATATATTAGCATATATTTAGAATATTTCTGATAATTTTATCAATATTTTATACTGTTTACAGCTTACTTTAAGTCCACTGATCATATGAAATTATATTTACAGCAATCACATAGAAATAACAACAAAATACCCAAGGGACTAATTTTATGATTTGGAAAAATACTGATAGAGATATGTTGCTTTTAGTTTCTTTAGTGGCTTAAACTAAAATATATTAATATTATTTGAGTGCAATTGATAGAATATTGTAGGTGGTTTTTAGCAAAGTTTGTTATGACAAGAATGCAAGCCAAAAATTAAAATTAAAAATACTTGCCTGTTTAGGTTTTAAAAAGAAGGAAATCACAGTAGCCATGTACTCATCATTTTTTTCATTGTATTCAACAGATGTCACATATTTTCTGGTCACCAAATGTATAAGTACTGGCGTAATAAATGTAAAAAATCCGGTAATGGTGCATATACCAATAGTGGCCACTAAACTACTGCCCATTTCTGAAGCTTTTTGCAGTAACAACGGTTGGATTAAGAGTCCCATTCCACTGGTTACAAACGATACGATTTTCAAATTACGGATACGCGGAGCCAGCATTCCTTTGTAGACGTTTTTCCATTCACCAGGGTCATTGGTTGGAACATTTGAATTGTTGATCTTTGACTCGGTAGAAAACTAATATTAGAAAAATAGCACACACATATTTAATATTATAATAACAGTCACATAAGTACTATACCAGCACTTACGTGTTTGTGAGAGACAGTTGCAGCAAAAACATGTTGATGGATGTTTACTTGGTTGAAAAATCTTTTCAAATGAGAAGCTTTACATGAGCGAAATGCTATGGAATACATAATTTCACGGTATTTAAACGACTAAGACAATATTATAAACAATACGAAACAAGTGATAGGTTTACAACAGGTAAAAATTATGTTAATATTCGTAAAACCTGCCGGGTTCTAAAAAAAATTCGATTTAGGAATTACACAGGAATAAATGTACGGTACATCGTGATTAAGTATATCATGCGGTATGTATATTTTACGCATGGGTGGTGATAGTGGAAATCATCCGAAATGTGATAAGCTGAAAAAATGTATGTTGGTATCAGGTTGTTGATAAGAGCTACTACCCAGACGATTAGTTGACAATTTTCGGGAAATCATACTTGACCAGCTCCTTTATCCAGTATCCAAGAAAGAATCTATTCAATGGAAGAATTCCTAGGACAACTCATGTATACACAATAAGACCTGTTATCAGTATCATCTCAACAACTACTAGTCACAATTCACTTTCAACCATTGATTTAGAAATCAAACATTTTGTATTCTTATAATTTGTAATTCCACGATTTGATCTAATATCGTGTTTTGTTCGAGATAGACTAGGCAGTTGGCGTAGATTGATTCAGTTATGCGTAGAAACGTTGTAATATTCTTCTTCTGTTGAGCTGCTGATAAATTGTTTTACTGTGTTTCCTGCATTTCAACGTATTGTTGTAAGCGAGTAGTATTTAGTATATATATTATTATTATTATTATTATTATTATAACTATTATTATGAATGTATACATAACATGTACGCGTAGGCATTAGTCCTTTATGTGGGGAGTAATGCAAGTAAGCATTTTTGGATTAACCGGACGCCTCTCGCCGTCCGTATAACCAGTCGTATTGTAACCAAGTACATGAACGGTCAATAAACGAACTCATAATAGTAATTTGTTCACGAGTCTTAACCATTTTTTAATCCTTTACTTTATTCGAAGTGCGAACTTACAAACGTTACATAGTGTCGACGGACTCTAACGAGTTTAACCGATCCGGCCTATAACAGTATGTTTTATTAAGTTTACTTATTATATTAAGTTTGATGAATACATTTTTTTTAATTTTATTTTATTTTAACTTTGTGTTACAATTAGTTTCAAAAGTTAGGTGACAAATGAATATATTAAATCTGAACAATTGATTGCAAAATCGACATAATATATCATCAGATTTCTGGAGAGTTCAAAATCGTTGGTAATTAAATATACATTTTATTTTTATTTTTTTCTTTATTTTATAAATTTTTTATAGTTGTGATTAAATTGTTGAATTATTTTTAAATGTCATTATCAACTGACTGCAATATTTGTTAACGTAATACTTGACATTGAGATGTGTAATTTAACTTGAAAAAGGCTATTTAATAATAGGCATTTGTGTAACAGGTGATCTACCGGGGGGTGGGTGATTTGCAAATTCAGGACGAGTGATCTAAGTTTTAATAGTATAAAAATACATTATATTTTTACTATGAGTACGTCATATTGTATAAATATTTGTCAAATATAAAATTAAATATAATTATAATTTCAATTACAGTAAACATTTTATAAAATTCATGCGCACACGTTATAGACAAACTCCAATCAACTAACAATTTGAAACTAACCTATCCGGCTACATTGCTAATGACTCTTAATTATATATTAAATTTCATTAATTTTTATCGCAATACTGTCCCTTTGTGGTCTATGATAATGTGTGTATAATAGGTAATAATAATTGTAGATCACCAACTACACCTTGTATAATACGGTAGATCAACTGCTACATGAATGCCCAATAATATTTTCAATACAAGTCTAGTTATTTTAATTTAATACAATGTAATGATAAGTATTAAATTTAACATTAGAATTAAATTTGTTGTTATAATAGAAAATATTTGTAATGTCTGTGATTTGATTTTATGATTATAGAAAAAATAAGATTAAAGAGAAAAAGCTGTAATTTGAAAAAATTATGTCATAGAAGAATTTGGTAATTTTCATGTACAACAGTCAATACAATAATATAATTTTTAAGAATTAAATTTATAGAAAGAAGTAAATAAAAAAAGGGGAATTTTATATGGAGGAAAAAAAATCTGAAACATAAAACAATGGTTTTAAAAACTGACATAGTTGATATTTCAACTGGATTATCTAACTTTCTTCTTATTCAGTTCACTAACATAAAATTGTACTAATACCAAGATACCAAAGTATGTTCAAATTAGATGGTAATTCAACCAGTACAAAGAAATAACTTCCGAAAGTAGAAGATATAGTTATTATTATTGATTAAACAATTTTTTGGTGTAGAGCTAAAATTACAGCAAAAAAAAAAAAAAAAAAAAAGCAGAAATCAATTTCCGATGTAAGAATTACAGAAATTTGAAAGTAATCTTAGAGTTTATTGACAGACAATCAATATTTCACTTTTGTACTTTAAAAACTTTACCATGAAAAGATGAAGAAATATTAAAATAATTTTATTCTTTTATTTGATTAGTAAATACTTTAGTGTTAATGAAATTATTGTGACTATTTTAATCAAAAACAATCCGTATATAATATTATTAAACAACGGCTTGAATATTTTATCTAAATTAATCTGGGATGACATTATGCCTTAATCCGTGATTCGATATATCTCATAAATTTTAAAATGATGAACGAAATTATTTCTGGTTATAAAGCCACAGTTGTCTGCATTGAACCTATCATATCAATTAAAAATTTTTATGTTGAAACAGAATTCAGTTCTGAAATTAACAAAAACATTAGAACTATAATTGATAACAAGAAAAATTGGATTTCAGTATTACATCCTAAAAAGGATGAAATAGTAATTGCAAAAATCACATTAGATAACAAATTGTATCGTGCAAGGGTCTTAATGCATTATGAAGATTGTAAAGTATACAAATGTTTTTTAATTGATTGTGGAACAATAGTGGACTGCACGGAATTCTTTGAACCCTGCGATTATTTACAGACTGCTCCTCCAGTTAAAATACATTGTTCTTTAAATGCATTACATACAATTAAAGACAGTTTATTGGAAAGCTTAACAATTTCTTTTATTGACGAGTTAGCAGAGTACAGTAATGATTTGAAAACTATGGATATAATCAAAATTGGTAGTGCGTGCATAGTTGATTTAGAAATAAAAGGTTTAAAAATGAGTAAAGTTATTAAGCCATGTGAAGTAACAGTCGTTGATATCAAACATATAAATTTATTTAAAATTCGGTTGAATACAACTGGAATGCGAAAAATTATTGATGTTCTGAGGTGTGTAAAAAAATTATCTATTGTTTCCATTCCAAAAATATTTGAATTATATATCGCAAAAATAGGTGATCATAACAAAAGAGTGAGATTCATGGACTATAATAATTTAGGCTTTGAAGTTATATTAGTGGATGAAAAACCTAATAAATTTATAGTTAATCAACTTTTTGAACTTCCCAAATCTATTCGCAATACTCAAACAACAGATATTTTTTGTTCTCTGGGGTTAAATAAACAAAAATATTCTGAAAAAAAATTTATTGATATTTGTGATAATGGCAAAACCAAATTTTTAATGGTTGTCATTAAAAATAATGACATAGAAGGGCATATTGTTAAATTGTTTTTAAAATACCAAGATGTAACAACAATGATTTGTAAATGAAGTGCATAATTATGTTGTTTTTCTCCTATATGTTTATACATTTTAATATAGTATTTTTTTATAGATTTATAATTTTTATGTCAATTCTACCATGTGCCTTTACGTTTATATAATATCTTATATTGTTTCTTAAATACAAATTTTTGAAAATAGAAAACAAAATATAAACAAGTTATATTTACAAAAAAAATTCTTTTTTTGTTTGGTATTCAAAAAAATTATTTATTTTAGCATTTAGTCTATCCTGGGTTATGAAACTATGAACAGTAATTATAAAAATCTTTTTTAGATGAATGAAAATTATTAAGTATATTGAACCAATTACATTTATAACTAATAATAAATAACAACCAGATCTAGTATTGTAGGATTATTAATTAATTATTTTGGTTGTATTAGCTAAGAAATCATAGATTATTGAGAAATATGAAAATATTTATTCACTAGGTCCATTTATGTGTTATAATTTTTTATTTTAATATTAAAATTCATAAGATTTTCTATTACATATGTTGTGAGCTGCTTGTTTAGGTCCATAAGTTCGGATATTGCGATCGATTGGTTAAATCCGCTGATCACAAGTAACATTATGAGTTTGTACTTTCAAAAGTCAATGAGAAAGTTATTGATTCACACAATTATTATATGAACTAATATACTATTTTTATAGATTCATTATTTAAAATATTATTACGTTAACAAGAACTTAATACACTGTTGTTTAGCTGTTACACGACTGACTCCTCGATAACGGGTGATCAGGTGTGAATGTATAAAATGGACAAAATGCATAGTCAACATTTGTTCCCAAATACATACTAAGGATATTAATAATAAAAATCACAATAATAAGGGGTTCATAACACATGTATGATATCTAATTTTCTTACTAAAATCTCAAGTTGCATTTTTATATTTACCTAATATGTAAAGTTATTCGCTTTAATTTCAGATAATTTTAATTAAAACATAACCATTTGAGTAATTATTTTTACATTTGAAAATAAAATAAGTAAGCACATAGATATTTATTTATTCATTACTTATCAATTTTTATCAACATTAATCTTGAGATGTACTTAAGTATTTACAACTGTATTGTTTTTAAAAATAATTTGCTCGAGATAATCTTTTAATACTTAATATAATATCTTACTCAATACATTCAGTTAGATTAACTTGATTCAACTTCAAATTAACAATTAGAACTGATATTTTGAACAGAGTTTTTGGTGATGATTCAATACTTTTAGTTTTACCATTAGGTATTGTTATGTCCCGTCGGTTAGTTCCAACGGACATGAATTTGTTCGCTAACAGGAATGGTTGACACAAAAAAACACAATAACTATCGAACTATTTATGTTTATTAAGTTATAATAATGACACAGTATTAGATTTAGTTATTGTTATAAATGTGGTCGACTGACGTATGTTGCATTTATGTGCTTAGGGAAGGAGAGGTTCTTAACAGTATCAAGTGAAAATAAAAAAATATGAATAGGTAGGTATTTTTATAATTGGACATGGTTAAATATTTAAGAGAAAATTTAAATTTTTATTTTTCATATAATTTTTATTAAAACCTTTTTTATAATGTTAAGTAAGATATCAAGCTAATTTGTAGATTATGAGAACTTATCATAATTTTTTTTAAAAAACTTCTCTCGTAAAACACAAGTTATAAAACACTTCTCATTTGCATTCAATAACAAATTTTTTTTTTCTATTTGTGACAATATTCCATGCCATCACTTTGTTCACCGGCCATGATCCAAGAATTAAAAATATAAGTATAGTGTACGTGGTTGCACTGTACACAGTACATGTTAGTATATAGGTTATGTAATACATGTGCAAACAAGCAGTTAGTGCAGTTTTTGAAAATGAAATTAAAAAAGTCTTATTAAATTGATTCGTTTTATTTATTTTGTATCAGCTCATTAATTTATGAAGTAATTGGCTTATGTCCGGTGCCATGTAGCGCAGACATTACAATTGGCGACGAAATAGTGAAACGTGCGTGCAAATTAGTTGTTTGAGTCATGTTAATCGGGACAGATACAGCCGTGTGAATCTAAAGAAACGTGGTTACTATGACAAATCGAGGGTCCAGTAGCTTGGTCGGTCATGTCAATGAATTTAAATTGAAAGAAGATGATTTCAGTGGATGGATTGAACGTTTTGAGCTGTTTATTCAGCTTAATGAAATATGTGCTCTTAAAAAAAAAATAACATCATAACAAAATACAATAGAGCATTAAGGTTCTTAATACATTAATAAATAATATAATATCTTATAAAATACTAAACAACGTTTATAAATTTAACCGATTAGAGTTTTTTTAATCCTCATTCCTCCATAACTTTGGAACCTCCTGCTGTTCAGTCTCATGTTTATCATCAACTCCACTTTCCCCTCTCCATAGCTCATTAACAGGTAATGATGGTAATTGATCATATGGCCCTACAACAGATTTTGTAAAATTATAATACAAGAGTTGGTTTCAATACCACTAGTTTCCCATAACTGATTAATATGTCTTCCAAATCTCACCCCCTACCATTTGTACTACATAAGTTACCGGTTACATAAGTTACACTACTTCTTATCCACTTGACCCCACTAGCATAATTTCTGTACATCACATTATCCCCAATTTTAAAATGCTTAACTCTACCCTCCTTATAAGCTCTCTTAGCTGCCAACATACTATTATTATATCTATATTTAGCTCTCGGCACTAATCTGTCAAAAGATGTAAATAATTTCCTACCAATATGCAATTCAGCTGGTGTAACACCTGTAGCACAATGTTTGGTACTATTATAAGATAACATAAATCTGGCAATCTGTGTCTAAGTCAGACTTCATAAAACTTTTCTTCAAAAAGTTCTTTTAAGTTCTGATCAAATTTTCAGCAACCCCATTAGACGCCGGACTGTATGGGGTAGTTTTCACATGGAACACTTCATTCTTAACTAAAAACTGCTCCACAACTTCTGACACTAATGAAGGACCATTATCTGTTACCAGCTTCGCAGGTATGCCCTACAAGAAATAATATTCCCGTAATAGTGGATTCTGTAGTAATATTATTCATAAACCTCACATGAACTCATTTGGAATGTGCATCAATTATTACCACAAACATTTTACCATAGATAGGCCCTAAAAAATCCAAATGAATCCGTTGAGCTGGTCCCTCAAGCCATGGCCAATTGTGTAATATTGACTTAGGTGGATTATCACTATATTCAACACACACTACATACTTTAGTAATTAAATCAATTTCTTTGTCAATATTTGGCAACCACATATATGACCTCGCTATAGCTTTCATTTTAACCGTACCTAAATGCGAACTATACAATTCCATCGACAAAACCTCCCGAAACTTTAATGGAATAACCAACTTATGTCCCCATAATAACATACCTTGTTCAATTGCAAGCTCATTCCTCCTATTAAAATAAGGCTTAATATCCTCAGACAGTTCTTTACTAGAATTAGGCCACTTTCCTGACATCATCCACAAAAAAACTTTTTAATTCCTTATCCCTTTGAATTTCCTCATAAATATCTAAATCAGCAATCCCCTGAACATTAGTAGTTACTAAATTAATAAAAAAAATTACTGCAAAATACATGATTGATCATATCTGCCCCTTCAATTGGTAATCGGGATGAGGCATCCTCATTTCCATTGTCATCTCCCTTCACAAATTCAAAAGTATAAGTATAACCAGTGAGGAAACTTGCATACCTCTGCAGTCTATGGGCTGCGATTACTGGAATCCCTTTTTTTTCTACAAAAATTGATATTAAAGGTTTATGATTTATTTTAAGAATGAAAGGTCTGCCATACAAATACTGCTGAAAATATTTAACACCATAAACCAAGGCCAAAGCTTCCTTATCCAGGTGAGAATACCTCTGCTCACTTTTACTAAGCGTCCTAGACGCTAAGGCAATAGGCTTTTCCAACTTATAGGGAAACCTATGTGACAGCACTGCACCAATACCCTTAGGGATCGCATCACAAGCTAAGACTAATTCCAAAGTTGTATCATAATGTGTAAGTACTGTTTTTGACAATAAATTATTTTTAATATTAGCAAATGCCTTATTTTGCTCTGGACCCAACAGAATTTAGCCTTCAATAAAGAATACAAAGGACTAGCCAACGATGACATATTCCTTTTAATTGATGAACATTTTCAGGAGCTTTCACCTGAGCAATGGCTTTAACTCTTTCCTCAGGAATATGCAAACCCTCCTTATCGATATAATGTCCTAAAAAAGTTCCACTATCTTGCAATAATTTACATTTACTAGCCTTAACTGTTAAACCAGCTGATTCTAATATTTCCAATACTTTCAAAAGTATCTCGGTGACTTTCTTGTCATCCTTACCCGCTATCACTACATCATCATAAAAGTAATCAACTCCTGCTAAACCAACTAAGATATTTTCCATTTCCCTTTGCAATAAACTTAGTGCAGATGCAATACCATAAGGCACCATCTTAAACAAAAATAAACCTCTATGCTTAGTAATTGTTGTTATTTTCTGGCTCTTTGCACTCAAAAGCAGTTGTTGATAGGACTGACAAAGTATAAAGTACAAAATTTAGTCGCCCCCTGAAATATACTTAATAATTAATTTACTCTCGGTATTGGGTACCTATCCACGACCAACATTTTATTAACAGTAACCTTATAATCTCCACACAATCTAATACTTCTGCCCACTTTTACTACAGGTACAATCGGCGTAGCCCCAATCCAAAGACTCCACTAGCTCTAATAAACCATCCGTTATCATTCTATCCAGTTCTAAACTAACCTTATCCTTTAATGAAAATGGAATAATTCTAGGTTTACAAAATATTGGTTTTGAATCCGATTTAAGTACCAACTCAAAAGTCTTATTTTTATAACATCCAAAAGAGTCACTAAAAGCTGACAGAAACCTATCAACCATACTCTGGATACTCAAAGTATTTAAACCCAATTCCTTAGGAAGTACCTTAAAGGCAATAATCCAATATTTTTCCATAATCGGTGAACCCCCTTCGT